GCCCAGGCTGGAGTGCAATGGCACGGTGTTGGCTCACTGCAACCTCCGCCTCCCAGTTCAAATGATTCTCCTGCCTCAGCCTCCCAAGTAGCTGGGATTACGGACATGTGCCACCACACCTGGCTAATTTTTGTACTTTTAGTAGAGATGGGGTTTCACCATGTTGGCCAGGATGGTCTTGAACTCCTGACCTCATGATCCACCTGCCTCCTAAAGTGCTGGGATTACAGGAGTGAGCCACTGCACCTGGCAGAAAGAAGCTATTTTCAAAGCAGAAGAGCTGCTCTCCAGGACTGAGGGCTGGCATTTTCAACTGCCTTTTGTGTGTTGGAGGTGCCTGAACGTGCCTCCTGGGCCAGCAGGGGGCACTCACAGAAAAAGCTAGCAAAGGCCCCCCGGTCCAAGGGGGATTAGGACTCAACCAAGGGTAGGCAAGGACATCCGCAACTGCCAGCTGTGGAGGGGTGGGGGCCCTGGTGTGCTCATGCCCAGGCCAGCCCCACGCACCTGCAGGAACTTCACCATGTTCAGCTTGGGATTAGCTTCTTTCTTTTCCGTGGGAGCTTGGCTGAACAGCTCTGCGGGGTCCACTTTGTCCCACTTGTTGTATTTTCCTACAAACCAGTCATAGTGACACTGAATCACATCTCCGTTTACAGGGGCTCGGCCTCTGAGACCATCATAACCCCAGGAGGATGTTGGTCTCATCCCGCAAATGAAGAGGGGAAAGCTTGAACAGTTTGCCCAGGGTCATCCTGATGATCAGAGGCAGAGCCAGGATACTGGGTTCAGGCTTTTGGTAACTCCCTCCCATCCAGTCTCCTTTCTGCTTGGCTGCTGAGCTGACACCACACCCCAGCCAACCACAGGAGCCAAGTAAGCTCTCGGAGGGTTGCTGCTCAGGTCTCACTTCCGGGACTTTCCCTGTGGCTAGGAGCGCCATTCCTGGACTGGCTCGCTTTGCCTGAGCACTGGATCCCACCACTGGTGCCTTCATTGGCACTTCCAACCTGGGTTTCTGGAACCCAGCACTCTGTGGGGCACACATGTGCTCAGTCATTCCCATTAGAGGACGCATCTTTTTCAGCCTCATGCTCAGCATATTCACCTAATCATCTACGGAGGCCCAGTTCTTGCATGCTCAGCCACCTGGCTTTCTTTTAGGCCCTATTTCTTTTTTTTTTCTGAGACAGGTTCTCTCACCCTTTCACCCAGGATCAAGCACAGTGATATGATCATGGCTAACAGTCTCGACCTCCCAGCCTCAATCCATCTTCCCACCTCAGCCTCCCAAGACTACAGGTGCACACCACCATGCCGGCTGATTTAAAATGAATTGTTATTTTGTAGAGACAGGGGTCTCACGATGTTGCCAAGACTGGTCTTGAACTCCTAGGCCCCATTTCTTGCATCCTGGGAAAATAAGGTCAGACGGAGCCAAATTCAAATCCTGGCTCCCCACTTGCCAGCTGAAGATAAAACTTGGGGTCCAAATGCTCAGCCACACAACTCAGTCACCATCGTTGTCATTGCTGTCATCAATGAGCAGCAAGAACAAGGGCTGAGGCTTTACTGTGTGCCAGGCCCTGTGCTGAGTGCTCTGCCCTCATTGTCACACTGAATCCCTATAGCCTTGGGAAGCAGATGGCATTGCTTTGAGACCCATTTCACTACAAGAAGTAGAAACTCACAGAGGCTGTCATTGCCCCCCGTCTCCAGCCAGTGAGCCAGCAGAGCAGGGGGAGAAGCCTGGAACAGACTCTTGCCAACCACACAGCCCTGCACCTACATCCTGCAGGTCCCTAATGTAGGCCCTTCCAAGGTAAGCGATAACAGTAACAATATGGGAATGACGGCAGCCACCAAATGACCGACAGATGATGGTCAAGCAGGAAATAGCAGCAGCCTTCTCTCAAATGCCTGCACAGGTCAAGCCCTTCCTAAGGCAGGTGCCGCCACTTTGTCTACACAGGAAGGTGCACAGGGAAGGCAGTGACTAAGGGGTGCCGCTACAATGGGCACCCAGGGCTGAGCTCCACAGACTGGGTTCTGGGCAGAGCACCCAGGGACCCTCTCATCACCACTCCATGATCTGCTGGCCTTATGACTCATGGAGTCGGAACAAACTTCCCCGCCTAGAGGCATCTCCTGGCTTCAACTGGACCCAGGCCAGTGCCATGAAGAACTCCCTTTGGTAGAATGGAGGGTAGGAGGGCTTACCCAGGAAATCCAGGGTCATCACGTGACCACAGACAGACGTCATCTTGAAGCGCACCGGCTGGCCAGCAAAGGTCCCAGCGTACTCATGGATCGAGCAGGCTCCATTCAGCCCTTTGTGTGAGGACAGGCTCCCTGGGCGTGGGGAAGCACAAAGTGACTGGCTGCTCCAGCTGAGCTGAAGACACTGTGGAGACTCCGGCCCAGATGCCACCTCTGAGAGGGCCAGAGTCCTCCTTCCCCAGAATGATGAGTTTCTGCAGCTTCCACAGATATCTGCAGGTAACTGGGCACTGAGAGATGGGACGGCGCTCAGGGAAAACAGCATCTGCCGACAACCCAGCACAATGCACTCTTAATGTAGAGCCCCAGGCTGTCGGGAGCCAGGAGCAGGCAGGGGCGGGCTCTTTCTCTCCGTTTATACTTTCACTCTTCAATTCCATTTTTCCCTCACTTCACTGAAACATTATTCAACATTTACTAAAATGGATTCTAGATTGACTCTAGTTTACCAGGGACCTTCTAATTATCAAATTCTCACCCTCTCCACTGACCACACTCAGTCATACTTTTTCAGCCTCTGGGCACTGGGCACCATTTTTGGGGCCTCCTGTCCCCTGCGGACCATGCCTTCTCAGCTGAACTAGGGTCTCTTCCTCCCTCAACTACTGGACCATGGGGAGGTCAGGTAAATGCCTGTCATTTCTGGGTACCCAGCATCCAACACACTTTCTATTTGGAGGGAATTCAAAGATGGGGGGAAACAGCGCCCTACCAACCACCCTAGTGACCAGAGTGGGGAATGAGTAGCAGACATTTCCTCTCCAGCTCCCTGGTGTCTGAGGAATGCCTGTGGCCACAGCTCAGTGCATTGGCTACTCTGGAGTGACATGAGGTCCAGAGGACAGTGCAAGGGCCCAGGGGTGACAATGCCTGGGGCATAGCCTCATCAGACCTCGACTGGGGTGTGGTCCTGGCAGTGTCTCCTTATTTCCAGGGCTGGTTTCTGCTACCTGTACCCAACAGCCTTGCCAGGCCCAGCACTTGGATAATGACTCCGCCTTCTGCTTCACTGTAAGCTGTGCCTTGTGCCTTCTGAGAACCCCAGCTTTGGCACTTGCCAGGAGTGGAAGCAAATGCACCCCACAGTGACATACTGAGACACTTCATTACCACCTGCTGAACTGAACCAAATCTACCCAGCCAGCGTGGAATCACATTAGGAAAAAGAAATGTCCTGCAACACATAAATGACCATGCTTACAGACCAAAGCAAGAAAGCAAGCGTAGGGCTGGTCTCTCCTACCTCTGGAGAGGATTTTGGCAATTGACTGTGCCAAGGATGGCTTTTCAGCAACCATGAGCACGGTCTTCATCTTGTCTCAGCCCTTCACACTCCAGTGTCAGGGCACTGGCAACGAAAGAGTTTAGGCTCCACTCTTCTGCGGCACAGCACTATTATCAATGCTGACTCCTAAAGAGAAGAAAAGACACTTAGGGAATAGCAATGCTGTCAACAGAACCCATACCACCACAAGGAAACTCACTTTAACAAAGAAAAAATAAGACCAACCTGAGGCAAGAAGAAAAATTAGGGAAACCTGAAGACCTCTGAGATATAAAAAACTGCCAGGTCAACTGAAGTGGCTCAGAGATGATCCTGGGAATCTGGCTCCAGGTGGGGGAAGGTGAAGTGGCCTCAATTATTTCAAGTCAATTTTATTCCTAAATCCATGCCAGGAAGAAGCTGGGGGCTGGGGATCTCCAGTGACGGGTCAGGGCAGGTGGATGCCTGGCCCTCCTCTCTGGACTGGCTCTTCCACCTACAGGTGGATTCACCTGGAGAGAGGAGCCATCGTGGCCCAGAGCAGCACCTCCACCTCAGGTAAGCACTGGGATGCCCTGGACATTTCACAAAATGCAGATGACCAGACTGGGATTCCCAGGTCCTTCCAGTCCATGATTGGGCCTGAGACCCTCTGGCTAGTGGGCCCAGCGCCAAGCGGACATCAGGGCCCTGTCACATCTATCTTCTACCTACTCCACTCCACCTCTTGCTTTGCAGGCCATGCTCTGGCCAAATTAAATCAAATATCATCATCAAAGCAAATGTGCATTTGAAACCTCTGTGCCTGTGTTCACCTGCCTGAGGGAAAGCCCCGCCAGGCTGGAGGATGCGGCTTGACAGCCCACAGGCCCAGCTCAAGTGCTGAGTCTTCTTTAAAGAGGTCTCCCAACACCACTGGCATGATAAGTCAGCCCTCCTGTGCCCGTGGCTCTTGGGATAAGTCTCCATTCCAACCCATTCACATCATGTCATCATCAGCGACTACCTCACCCCTCAACAGGACATGACAGGCTTTGTGTCTGAATCGCTGTTGGCCTTTGCAACAGCTTTCTGTGCCTGACACATGACATTCAATACCTGCTGGTCAAGTAAAAGAAAACCACATGAAAGCTTTTTGTTTTTTTCAATCATTATAAATGCAGGACTGATGTTTATAACTACAGCATTGTATTGAAAAAAAAAAAGACTTCTATTGATACAACTGGGAAAACTGCTGGGAAAAAAAATAAAGTTAGACTCCTGCTTCCTAATTCCCACTAAAACCGATTCCAGATCTAGCAAAGGTTTGAGTAGAAATAATGAAACCAGAAGAATATTAGGAAAAACACGCGCTTTTAAAATAAGTCTCATGAGCTGGGTGTGGCAGCACATGCCTTTAGTGTCAGCCACTCAGGAGGCTGAGGCAAGAGGATCACTTGAGGCCAGAGTTCAAGACTGCTGTGTGCCATAACTGCACCTGTGGATAGAACAGCCACTGCACTCTGGCTTAGGTGACAGCAAGACCCCATTAAAAAAAAAAAAAAAAAAAAAAAAAAAAAAAAAAAAAAAAAAAAAACGGCTAAATCAAATAATCTCAGCATGAAGGAAAAAAACCCACCTAGCTGGGCATGGTGGTTCATGCCTGTAATCCCAATACTTTGGGAGGCCAAGGTGGGCAGATCACTTGAGGTCAGGAGTTCAACAACAGCCTGGCCAACATGGCAAAACCCCGTCTCTAATAAAAATACAAAAAATTAGCTGGATATGATGGTAATCCCAGCTACTTGGGAGGCTGAGGCAGGAGAATCCCTTGGATCCAACAAGTGGAGGTTGCAGTGAGCCAAGATTGTGCTATTGCATCCCAGCCTATGTAACACTCTGTCTCAAAAAATAAATAAAATAAAACAACTACCTAAGTACCTCAAAACTGAGAAGTACTTGAGGCATGTTTAAAAGCACTTGCTCTTCTTTTCTTTGAGCTGTCTATTCCTGTTACCCACTTTTTTCGACTGTTGTTTTCTTATTTTAGGAATTCTTTGCATAATGAAGAAATGAGCACTTTGTGGTATCACATCATGTTCAACAACACTTAAGGAAGAAACTCAGAACTACAATAAGCTTGTGCTTATCTCATAGGCAGAGACTCAAAGTCGATGCACACACAGCAGACAAGGGCGTAGGGAAGTTAAATGGGAATAACCTCTATGTACAGCAATTCGGGGATCCCTCTCAAAGGACAAGTGCACATCCCAGCATTCGACTCCTTGGAATGAACTTACTAGTCCAGTTATGTATTGAGCACCCCTACTGCATGCTTGGCCTAGTCCCGGGTGCAGGGAATACAGCACAAAGCAACATCAGGTCCTGCCCTCCTGGAACTCATGCTGTGGTACAGGGGCAGGGGAGGGAAAGGGCAGGGCTGGGTGACACCTGCGGGAAGGGTCCAGGCAGAAGGAGCAGGGAAGGTGAAGTCCTTGGGGAGGAGGTGGCTGGCAGGGGTCTGGTGGGGCTGAGGGAGGGAGCAGGGGTATAGAATGTGGGTCTGCTCTAGGTGTGCTGGGAGGCAGCAGAGGGTTTGCACAGGCCTGGGATGATGATCTGACGTCAAGTGTTAAAGGGAACTCACTGGCTGCCACATAGAAGAGGGTGACTGGGCCCTGGGTAGCAGTGGTGGAGGCTGAGAGGGGAAGTCAGAGTCTGGGCAGGCCTGGGATGGGTGGGACATGGGAGGGGGAGAGGAAGGTGAATCAAAGATGACCTGAGGCAAGGGCTGGGTGTGAGCTCACATCTGCCATGGGCTCACACCTGCCATAGGCTCACACCTGCAATCCTAGCGCTTTGGGAAGCCAAGGCAAGAGGACCATTTGAGGCTAGGAGTTTGAGACGAGCCTGACTAACACAGTGAGACCTTGTCTTTACAAAAAAGATAAAGGAACAACCCTTGACTTTGCTTCAGGCATGACAGGAAGGGACTGGCAGTCTGAAGCGGGGCTTCAGGTGTGTTAAATGTGACTTGCCCAAAGGACAGCCTGGGTGGCCTGGAGGCAGCAGCAGCAATGTGGAAGGAACCCAGGCTGGGGGTTGGGAGATGAGAGGCTAGCAGGGTGAGTCAGGAGGGGTAGGGCCACGAAAGCCATAGGAAAGAGCACTTCCGGGCAGTCATCACCACATGGGAGACACTGATAGGCCAGGCGAGGTGGCAGCTGAGACCTGACCATGGGGTCTGGCAACCTGAGAGCTCTGGGTAACCCTGATGGAGCCATCTGGTGAGTGACAGAGGTGAAAGCTGCATGGGTGAGCTGGACAAAATCTGGGAGAGGGGAGAAGGCCAGGGCACTGTCCCCTTTTGTTTTAGGATGGAAGCTGTGCCAACATGTTCTCCGTTGAGGGGACCACTCCAGCAGAGAAGGAAAAGATGCATGCAGGAGGAGGAGGAACTGCTGGAGTGATGGCCTTCGGACGGGGAGGAGCAAGAGAGACAGCCAGTCAGCACCCAGGTGGTGCAGAGCTGTGAAAGGGCGCACTTCTCTTGGTCGAGGAGCCATGGTATGGCTGTCTACGGAGGAGGAACAGGTGGTGACACTGCGGGGAGGCCCACAGCAGAGGAAGCACTGGAGTTAGTTAGATGGGAGAGTCCAGGTGAGTAGGAGGGAGAGGGAGTGGGGCAGGGGTTGAGGGGAGAGATTAGGAGGACAGAACCTGACTCTGAGCTTGGTGAAGAGGGAGGTGAGGGTTGGGGAGGGTCCACAGAGGGTGTGCTCTGTGGGGTCCAGGAAGTGAGGCATGAGAGCAGGAAGTGGGAGTCAAAGAATCAATTCCCAGGGGGTGGGAGGCTCAAACAGGAATTGCAAGGAGCCCGTGTGGTGGTGACCCACGGAGGGCAAGGGCCATGAGACAGGTGGAGAGTGAAGTTACCTGGGAGAGTCACAGGAACCAACAGTCGGCCCTGGCAAGACTGTCCAGGGGGACCCTGAATCCCCAGGAGGCAGGAGAGGGTGGCACTGGAGTGGCTTCACGCTGGGCAAGGTGGGGCCTGTGATGAACCACATAACTGGGGGTTCTCTGAAGCATTGTTAAGCATAAAAGATTAGAAACAAGCTGGTGTGTGTCAACAAGGAGGTGGTGAAATAAAAGCATGGCATTCTGTACAGCGGAGCACCTGGCAGCATTAGAAAGGAGAGCATCTGCTTGGTACACACTAATGTGGACTGGATCACTGAGATAAACTATGCTAAGAAAGCTGGGCACGTAACGGCGTGTACAGTGTTGCCATCTGTGATCACACATATGCGTGCACGCATGTGCACTTGATTACGAAGAGGCGGCATGTGTGGGTGGCACGCAAAACAAACAGTCAAAGCAGTCACCTGGAGGGGTGTGAAGGACTGGAGGTCAGGGCTGAGGGGCCTCCTCACCATATTCCCTTCTGTACCTTTTACACTTAGCATCTGGTCACAGGTGACTGAGGGAAAAGAACTAAGACAGGGGATTTTAAAATAAAATAAAACCAGAAAAATAGAGGAGGGTTGGCAAGGCGATGCTCAGAAAGGATGCCAAAGGAAGCTCCTTCACTAAAGGGGCTTCTGCTGCGTGCCATGCTGTGCGGGAGGAGGCCCAAGGTCAGCCTTGGGCTGTCAACCTTGTCTTCCACTTCAGAGATCACAGGACCACAATGAAATCAGTAATACTGACCAGAAAGCTGCCCCAAATAAAATGGCAATTTGCTTTTTTCCTCAAAATAAATACATGGATGTTCCCCTAAATACACAACCATCCCAGAATGAAAGAGCCGAGACCTTGTGGAATGACGGCACCGTCTGCAGATGCTCCCTGGCCCATGACAGCTCCGGCTGCATCTCCCACGGCCCTGCTCTGCATCTGGCGCCAGCAGTCTGTCTCTCCCACAGTTGTCAGGTTCACTGCCATATTTCTGGCACCCAGCATGCACTAAATGCCTGCTGAGTGAATGAATGAACAACCGAAGTGGTAGTGATTGGCCTCTGCTCTGTTATGTGGACGTTTTGATTCTACCAAAATCAGAGGCCCAAAACTGAGGTTTAGAGGAGACCTAGAGATTCGCCCTTCTCTCACCCTGAGAAGCCAGAGGCCAAAAGCGAAAACTCGCAGCAGAGAGGGATTGGTCTGTGAGGGTTTGAGTTTCCCCTCTCTTCCAAATGTCCTAAAATGTTTCCTCAGATTTTCTCATGTCTGTGCCACAGAGTAGGCAGCAATTATGTATGACATAATGAGGACACACCAGGCGCCAGGCAGTCCTGCCAGCATCCTGGGTAGGGATGTTAAAGGGTGCTGCCATTGTCCTGGCCTACAGTGGGACTGTGGGTTCAGAGAGACCTGAGCGCCAGTGGCTGGACTCCCAGCCTGATCCTGCCGTGCCTCTATGAGCACTCTGATGGAACAGGAGCCTGGCTTTGCTTTCCTGTAGCACTCACCACTACACCAGGTACAGCCTCCATCTACTTATTTGGTTCTTGTCTTAAAGCTCCTAGGATGTAAGCTTAAGTGGGAGGAGAACAGCGGTTTTGCTTTGTTCATTCTCATGGTAAACAGATGGTGAGCAAATACTGGTTGAACGAATGACTGAATATATAAAACCATAATTTTACCTGCAAGGCAAATAATAAAAATGCTTTTAGCGCTCTAAAATGTAGAGTAAACATGTAAAATAAATACTGACTTTAGGCTGGGCAGAGTGGCTATTTTTCCATTGAGGCATAGCTCCCATTTCAAAATGGAAATCAATGAGAACAAAACCTGAAAGCAATGGTCTGTAAATTTCATTTATACATCATTTTCAGTTTTGCTTTAGCAACATTTTCACCTAAGTTTTTGCTTTTATTTTTTTTAAGCATAAATATACAAAAATGACCAGAAACAGGTGCCTCTCTTTTTTTTCTTTTGAGATGGGGTCTCACTCTATCACGTAGGCTGGAGCGCAGTGGCACAATGATGGCTCACTGCAGCCTCAAACTCCTGGGCTCAAGGGATCCTCCCGTCTCAACCTCCCAAGTAGCTGGGACTACAGGTGCACACCACCACGCCTGGCTAATTTCTAATTTTTTTTTTTTTTTGAGAGATGGGGGTCTCACTATGTTGCTCAGGCTGGTCTCAAACTCTCGGCCTTCAGTGATTCTCCTGCCTTGGCCTGCCCAGCCCTGTCCTCCCATTTCAAGAAGGGAGATTAGCAACAGCTGAGAGGGTGCTGACAGCAAGCACCCAAACTGGCCTGTAATTAGAACTGACAGTGAAGTAAAAAGGGAGTAGCAGGTTAAGCTATTAGTACCTTGTCAATTCTCACCAGGAATACCACCAACGATTTGTGTCTTTGGGGACTCAGTAAACCTAGAGATTTCCTTTCATGTCTGTGTCTTAGAAACAAGCAGATGTGGTGTGGGAATAGAGGCCTGGCAGTAATGTGAATAGCATTAAAATTCCTAGGACCTACCACCTCAGTAACTTTACCAAATACTTCTAGAATCAGGAAAAGAGGGAAACAAACGACCACTTCTTAAGCTCCTCCTTTGTACTAGGTACACCATAGCTATAAACACTCTTCAAGTTTGCTTAGAACCCTATAAGGCACGCGTTGTAATTTTTTTTTTTTTTTTTTTTTGAGACGGAGTTTCACTCTTGTTACCCAGGCTGGAGTGCAATGGCGCGATCTCGGCTCACCCCAACCTCCGCCTCCTGGGTTCAGGCAATTCTCCTGCCTCAGCCTCCTGAGTAGCTGGGATTACAGGCACGTGCCGCTATGCCCAGCTAATTTTTTGTATTTTTAGTAGAGACGGGGTTTCACCATGTTGACCAGGATGGTCTCGATCTCTTGACCTCGTGATCCACCCGCCTCGGCCTCCCACAGTGCTGGGATTACAGGCTTGAGCCACCGCGCCCGGCCTGGCGTTGTAATTTTTTTAAACCGTGAGTAAACGGAGGTTCAGAACAATTCACCCTAGTGTCAGGTGACCTTGGCAAAGGAATCCCAGGACTGGCTAGCCATCAAGCCCAAGTTAGGCTGGCCTCTCAGGTCCTGTTTCCAAAGGTGAGAAGAGAAAAAGGCAAGACGAGGAACGTCTTACCTTTCACTTCTGCGAGAAATTATTGCCCCTGGATTCCAGCTAATTTGTTCACAAAAGTACCCTACTTCATTGACAGATAATAGGTCAGAGAACCTGGGCGCCTTTAAACGATCTGGGCCCCGGCGGATGCACAGCCTCCCTGAGCCTCAGTTTCCCTACCAGTGAGATTGTTCCTACAGCAGACCTCACGTCAAAGAGCTGTGGGAGGGTTCGCGGAAGAAAGGTACTAAACACAGCGCCTGCTCCTTGCAGGCACAGGGCGGGCCCATCTCCACCTGCCTGAACAACCACAGCAAGCCCCAGGGGAGAGGGTCACCGCCGCCAGGAAAGAAGCTACAAGAATGCAAGCCCGCCCAGAGCCCTCTCTCGAGCCCACGGGTCTGCAGCCGGCCAGCGTGCAGGAAACAAGCCCGAAAAAGGCTCGCGCTTCCCGCTTTTCTGAGCCGCCCGGCGTGAGGCCCGCAGCTTGCCGCTCACCTGCAGCCACACAGCGATTCCGGCTCCGGTCCTTGCTCCTGGGGCGGCCACAGGCAACCCCTACTTCCTGGTCAAGCCGCTTCTGGCGTCCCCGCGTCCGGTGTGCTAGCGTCTGCCCTCCGGCTCCTGCGCGTCGCGTCTTTAGGTTCCGGGGCTCGCGGGTTCCAGGGGCACCCCAGAGAGTGGCACTTCCACGCTGCGCTGGCCGCAGGGGTCCCCAAGCTCTGCAACCAGATTCTTCCCCGCCACAGACAATCATGACAATTACAATGAGTATGAAAACTGGCATGAAAGCATCTATGAAGCTAATAATTAAAATGATAAAAATGCACAGGTGTGTATAGCAGGCTTGTTTCGATGCTGTAAAACATCTGTGGAATGATTGAATGATCTGTGTAAAACATATCTGGAAGGTGAATTGTAAAATTAAGTTATTTATTTAGTTATTTTGAGACGGAGTTTTGCTCTTGTTGTCCAGGCGGGAGTGCATCGGTGCGATCTCGGCTGCAACCTCTGCCTCCCGGGTTCAAGCAATTCTCCTGCCTCACCCTCCCAAGTAGCTGGGAGCACAGGTGCGTGCCATCATGCCTGGGTAATTTTTGTATTTTTAGTAGAGACAGGGTTTCACCATGTTGGCCAGGCTGGTCTTGAACTCCTGACCTCAGGTGATCCTCCTGCCTTGGCCTCCCAAAGTGCTGGGATTATAGGCTGAGTCACCATGCCCGGCCTTAACTCTTCTTTAACATCTGCCTGGTACTTTATATTACACAAGTAAAATAAATTCTTTAATAGATGTTGATTTTTTTATCTGTCTAAAGTCATAATTCTACTTTTCTGAAAATTATCTTTTAACAATTAAAAGCTAAAAAGGATAAAATAGGAAACAGCTAATGTAACAATAGGAGTATTTCTGCTGATGTGACTGCACAAGTGTGCCCAGTACTTCCAGCAAGAACTGATTTGTAAATGTATAATGGCACAAGTATCTTAGGCACATGGAATAAACCATTCACGCATGTTTTTTTCTGTCATCTAGGGATGACAATGAATCTGAAAACATTATTAAGAATTAAAAAATGTATGTAATGAAGTGAAATTAATAAATGGAAAGACGTAACTGGATGAGAGCAAATATTTAAAATATAAATGTTGTTATAATTAGGATATTACAAACAATGTCTAAATAATTGTAACTTTAATCTAGAAGAAATAACAAAAGAAAAACTAAGAGAAGACTACTGGAGAGATAATAATGTGAAATTAAACAATTCAATTTTTAGTATATGTGCTGCCTAAGCGAGCACTAAACAATTCATACTTAAAGTTTTGGAACTTGAAATTATTCTGAGCCTTGAGAGGAATGTGGCTATGTGGCCTGAGTCATGTAATATGCAGCTGCAAATTCGACTTCTCTGATTATAGATCAACTTTCTTCCTCATACTTGCAGTATAGAAAATTAGGAAGACCAAACGCCACCTAATAAGAGATAAGACCCCTTCAGATCACTACCTCTTCTCAGGGAGTAACAAACTTTCTTGGAATACAGCATTCTGTAATCAATCAAATCACTATAATGAATGCACTGGTTTTGTATGGAAAATGCTGTAATCCTGCTACAATTTCTCTGTCTCTGCCTATATAAGGGAAACCTTAACTTCACTGCTTTGGAACTCTGACCCCATTGATCTGCAGTCAGTGTTTCCTGGGTGGCTATACTCTAGCTTTGTGCTCAAATAAACTCTATATTTAATCACGTGTTCCAATCTCATTATTTAACATTAACATTCATATTACCATATTTTTATATAAGGCAATATTATATTGACCTGAGAACAGAAATCAATGAAAACGAACAGAGGAAGCTTTTCCAAGAGCTTACAGAATTATTGAAGGATCTGATTTTCAGTACCCAGAGCCTGACATAGGTAGCTTAGGCAAAAAGAGGAGCCGCCTGGGAGAGGTTTCCCCTGTACCTTACCTAACTGAAGAAAGCTGTTTAACAAAGTCAAGACCTTGGGAGCAGGAGACCCTGTCTACCTTCTGTTCCCTGCCCTCAGGGCTCTGCCATAATCCCAGCAGTAAAAAACCCTCCAGGATGGTTCCCTGGCTCTGTCTTCTCTTGTCAAATGTCTGTGAGAGAGACAGATTTGCAAGATGCACCACCTAGGAAAGAAAACAACTCCTGCCAATAAAACTGATAGCTATGAAGGTAAGACCCCTACTGATTCTTCTGAGGTTTCAATCTCTGACAAATAACGAACGATGAGTGGGACTCCTTGGTGGGTAAATGTATGTTAAAAGGTGGTGTACAGTGTTACACCAAAAACAAAAAGATTTGTTTTTGGCCAACAAACATAAAAAAACATTCAATATCACTAATCAGGGAGACACAAATCAAAAGCACAATGAGATACTGCCTCACATCCATTAGGATGGATGCTATTAAAAAAAAGATACAGCAAAATTGGAACCCTTGTACAATGCTGGGAATGTAAAATAGTGGAACTGCTGCGGAAAACAGTATGGTGGTTCCTCAAAAAACTGAAATTAGATCCAGTAATTTCACTTCTAGGAATATACCCAAAAGAACTAAAAGCAAGGTCTTGAAGATGTATTTTTCCCCCAATTTCACAGCAGCATTATTCATAACAGCCAAAAGGTGGAAGCAACACAAATGTCCATCAGCAGAGAGCCAGGAGGATAGCTTTTAGCCCAGGCATTTGAAACCAGCCTGGGCAACACAGTGAGACCCTATCTCTACCAAAAAACCCCACAAAATTAGCTGGCCAAGTTGATTACGTGCCTGTAATCCCAGCATCTCTGGAGGTGGAGGTGAAGGGGATCGATTGAGCCCAGGAGTTCAAGGCCTCAGAGTACTGTGATCACACAACTGCGCTCCAGCCTGGGCGACAGAGCAAGACACAGTCTCCAAAATAATAATAGTGAGAATAAATAATAATCAGTTCCAGTTGGGATAGTTATCACAAGAACTTTGCTGTTATGGCTGTGATTTTATTTTGGAGCAACTTCTCATGGTTCTAACTAAACCCAAATCAAAAGCAAAATTCATTTGAACGTCCACGCTCACAGCAACATTATTCACAAAAACCAAAAGGTAGAAGCAATCCAAATGTCCATCGACAGATGAATGGATCAACGAAATGTGTCTCTCCACACAATTCAGCCTTAGAAAGGAAATTCCAACACATGCTACAACATGGAGGAAACTTGAAGACTTTATATATACTAAGGGTACCTACCTCCCACCTCACTGTATTCCTATGCTGAAATTCCAGCCCCCAAGATGTTTGTATTAGGATATGAAATTATTAGATTCAAAGTGTGAATTCCTGACCTCAGGTGATCCACCTGCCTTGGCCTCCCAAAGTGCTGAGATTACAGGCGTGAACCACCTTGCCTGACCCGTACTGTATTTTTATAATAAAGTACACTGCAGAAAAGAAAATGTTATTAAGATAATCATAAGGAAGTTAAAATCTATTTAGTATTCTTTAGGTAGAAAAGGATTATCCTAAGGAAAGTGGAGGAAGAGGAGGGGGTTGATCTCACAGTCTCAGGGGTGAACGAGGCAGAAGAAAATCTGTGTATAAAGTGGACCCATGAAGTTCAAATTTCTGTTGTTCAGGGTTAGCGGTACACAAGGGACACTAGATTAGCTAAAGCTTGGGCTGGGCATGGTGGCTGACACCTATAATCCCAGCACTGTGGGAGGCTGGGGCGGGTGGATCACTTGAGACCAGGAATTCGAAGCCAGCCTGGGCAACATGGTGGAACCCCGTCTCTACTAAAAATACAAAAGTAGCTAGGCATGGTGGCATGTGCCCGTAATCCCAGCTACTCAGAAGGCTGAGGCACAAATGACTTGAACCTGGAAGATGGAGGTTGCAGTGAGCCGAAATGGTGCCACTGTACGCCACCTTGGATGACAGAGTGAGATTGTCTCAAACAAGCAAGCAAACAAAAACAGATTGGCTAAAGGTTGAACTTTCAGTGATGAACTAAACAGAAACAATCTCAGAGACTGTGGACAGGAGAAGAAGCAAGCACAGATGCAGCTAAAACCTATGATAAATGCCCTGGCAAAAACAAGTGTTAGGCTGAGCATGATGGCTTTTGTCTCTAATCCTAACACTTTGGAGGCCGAGGCAGGAGGATTGATTGCAGCCAGGGGTCAAGGCTGCAGTGAGCTATGATCAAAGCACTGCACTCCTGCCTGGGTCACAGAAACTCTGCCTCTTAAAACAAAACAAAAAACTCAAACCCAAACCAAAACCCAGCATAGTCCATGAGAGAGGAAGAGCAGGGCAGGCCTACTCACCAGGGGCAGTCGAGGGAGGATGCCCAGGAAGGGTCTCTGAAGTGAGCACCTGGAGGAAGGGGGTTAGTTCTGAGGGACTAGGATTCATCCTGGCTTTGGGATCACGGGCAAAGGTCCTGTAGTGACAAGGAGCCTGCTGGCAGCCTGGCTTAGCACCATGTGAGAGCAGAGGGGTGGAAAGGCACTAGGTAAGCATGCCTTCAGATGAGAAATGAGGGAGACAGGGACTGGGGGATCCTGACATGAGAGGAAACGAAAGGAGATGGGGAGAATGGGTGACCAGAGGGACCACTGGACCACCGAGGGTGGGGACTTGCTGAGATCAGAGCCACGTGCAGGAGAATGAGGTACAATCTTGAACAGACCTCCCAGGGCAGCTGGTCCAGCCATCAGTGACCACAACCACACGCATGATTGCAAGTGGAACCGGAACCACCGAGGCAACCCACAGAACTGGGGAACTAATCAAGTCTTGCTTTAAACAACTGCATTACGGGTGGCTTGTCGTGTAGCAGTGGATCACTGAAACAGAGTCTCAAATATCTATCAGGTCAAGTGTGTGGTGAGTGGCTCACACCTGTAATCCCAGCATTTTAGGAAGCTGAAGCAGGAGGATCACTTGAACACAGGAATTTGAGACCAGCCTGGGCAACGTGGCAAGACCCTGTCTCTACAAAAACTTAAAAAAATTAGCTAGGCGTGGTGGCGTGTGCCTGTATTCCCAGCTGCTTGGGAGGCTGGACAGGAGAGTTGTTTGAGGCTGCGGTGAGGTGTGATTGCGCCACTGCACTCCAGCCTGGGCAAGAGTGAAACCTTGCCTCTAAAAAAATATCGACAAACCAGGCAGCAGTACTGAATGGCTCCTGTCTCCCCCAAGACCCTTGCAGACTTTGAGGTCTGTCACAGAGCTCACCAACCTTCTCTTGGTCTAGAATTATCTAAAAAGAGTTCAGTGCAGCCAGAGAGGATGGAATACATGGTGTTCTTCAACCCCATCAAACTGCTGTGCCCTACAGATGATCCTTGGGTCCAGGTGTGGGTGGGTTGAGGAGCTGCCCAGGGCTAGGAAAAGGCAGAGGTCAGAATGCATGACCTCCATCTAACTCCAGATGCTCCAGGGGTCTGAGACCATTTCCATCAGGGTCTGGAAGGCCCTTCCCCGGAACACACAGTCAACACTGGAGACAATCTTTCCCAGTGAGTGGCGCACGGGTCCTGGGGCAGTGAAGGCTGTGAAACAAAGTTGGGACCAGAGTGTCACTATGGTTGAGGGGTGGGTCTGGGCTTATTTGCTCTCTCAGTGTAACTGTGTGCACTTACCTATAAGTGCAAGTAGAAACACCTATCCTCTGAGCTTAAAAGGATCAAAAAGCTCTGACAGTGTCAGTGGTAGGGCTGGTTCAGGGGCTGCAGTAGTGCTGGTGTGCACAGGTGGGACCTTTTCCTGTCCTAATTCCCAAAGACTGGTGCTCTGGCGAGGGTCCGGGAGGCCTATTTCTCTTTCACAAATACATGCGTGACACATGAATGAGCTACTGGATGAGGGAAGAAATGAATGATGGAGTGAACAAAGCTTCCTTTCTCCTCTCCAGGAATTAGCACTCACTGATTAGTTCCCCACTGCCCACCGGCCTGTGCACAGAAGGGAGGAGCAACAAGTCACAGATGTTGCAGCTGTGATAGACAGTGGTCAAAATGCCCTGTGTCTGCAAAGGCCCACCCCAGCCCTCACCTGGGCATCGGGCCTATTGGCCAGAGAGGCAGCGGGAAGGGTGGGGCTCCCGGAGTCACCCAGCTGGCTGAAACAGGTGCGTTCTGCATCTCGCCAGGTAGAGAACGGATGTGGGCAGCTTGACACTGAGCAGGGGGCTCATCTGAGCCTCAGGGGTGGTTGCTCTATCAAGTGTTTGCAAGTAACCAGTCCCAGTGCACACCCAGCTGCTCAGTGCCACCTCGCCTGCCCAGGGCCACTTCAGCCCCGATCACAGGCCTGCACAGGTTCCAGGGGAGGACACACTCCAGTTTTTGGTGAGAGAGTGAACATGTGGGATAAGAGAGTTTAAGCTCAAATTTCCCCTTCAATTAAAAAAAAAACCATTTCAGGCAGTGTGTAAACACATATTTAATTATTTATTTTTTGAGGCAGGGTCTCCCTCTGTTGGACAGGCTGGAGGGCAGCGGTGAGATCTTGGCTTGGTGCTGCCTCAACTTCCCAGGCTCAAGTGATCCTCCCACCTTAGCCCCCCAAGTCGTTGGGATTGCAGGTGCCTGGCCACCATGCCCGGCTAATTTTTTTTTATTTTTGTAGAGATGGGTTTTTGCCATGTGGCTCAGGCTGGACTCAAACTTCTGAGCTCAAGCAATCCTCCCACCTTGGCCGCCCAAAGTGCTGGGATTATAGGTGTGAGACACTGCAACTGGCCTCCACATTTCCCTTTTGTAAGGACACCAGTTGTACTGACCAGGCCACACCACCTCTGTGACCTCATTTAACCTTCATTAGTTCCTCAAGGGCCCTATCTCCAAATATAGGCACATGGGGGGTTAGGGCTGCAATCTACGGATTTGGGGGATGCAATTCAGTCCATCACAGCACCCAACTGTGAGCCAGAATGGGGGGGGAAGGTGCCAGGGCCCTGGGGCTTCTTTCCCAAACGAGAGTCACTCTGCTTGGTTCAAGGAGGGAGAGGAGCATGGGCTGAAGGCAGTGCCGGAGCATGGAAGGGGCAGAGAATCCCAACCCACTCTGGGCCCCCAGTGTCTTCTGCTGTACAAAGCAGGTGTTTTTACCCGCCAAGGATGTGTCTTCCCTTCCTGGCTTACCAAGTGTTTAAGTGTAGACAGAAAATTTATTTTTCTGGGGCTCAGCTTCCTCAGGGGAAGCTGAGGTCATGCCCCCTGAGGGACCCTAACCCAAAGGCCTTCAGGGCACTGGCCCGAGTGTCTGCAGCAGGTGCTTCCTCCCTGAATGCTTCCACACAGCAAGATCAGGGCCACAAATGCTGCCCCCAGCCTGTTCTGGTAACCGACGCTGCAAACCCAAGAAAGTCTGGGATGGTAGTGGCCAGGAACGGGGCATGCCACAGCCCCCCCCCTCAGAGCAGGGAGGAGGATGCTGGGTCAGCCTTGGGGACCCCAGGCACAGTGGCCACAGGAGGCAGAGCTCCGTGGGTCTGCACCATGTCCTTCACGGCTGTCCTGCTCATGCTACTTGTCTACTGCACAGGTGAGGAACCCCCAGAGCCCGAAGACCCCAAGCCCTTCCTTCACCCTGCCCTGTGCCCACAGCACACATGCTTCTTTGTCACCAGGTTGTGATCCTCAGCCTGTGCTGCATCAGCCGCCGGCCATGTCCTCGGCACTTGGAACCACGGTCCGCCTCACCTGCACCCTAAGGAATGACTATGACATCAGTGTGTACAGCGTCTACTGGTACCAGCAGAGGCTGGGCCACCCTCCGAGATTCCTGCTGAGATACTTCTCACAGTCAGACAAGAGCCTGGGCCCCCAGGTCCCCCCTCGCTTCTCTGGATCCAAAGATGTTGCCAGGAACAGGGGGTATTTGAGCATCTCTGAGCTTCAGCCTGAGGATGAGGCCATGTATTACTGTGCTATGGGGGCCCGGGGCTTGGAGAAAAAGGAGAGGGAGAGGAAGGGGGAGGAAGAAAACGAACCCACTGCAGCCGGGACACATGTCCTTTGAACTGAAGATAGCCATTGACTTCAGTTCTCCAAGGGGCATGCATCCCCTTGGAGAGGATGTCAGGGAAGAGGCTGGAGCCACGGCCCGAAGTGTCGAGGAGGTGGAGCTATTCAGCTTCTCCTGGTCCTGCAGTGTTGCTGTAAACCCCCATCAGAGGCTGCATTAGAGAATTAAAGCTGCTCGTGACTTTTTCCTGAGTTTGGCCTGACTGTTGTGCGATCTCGTAATACCAGCCTTGGGCAAAGGCCCAGGGCGCCGGGAGACTGGCAGATCACAATCTGTTCAGCTGAGGCATTGTGGTGAGTGCTCACCAGAGCCCCTACTCTTGTGGACCATGGGAGGCAAGGGGCTGACTAAAACACCTTGGAGGGACCTCCCTGACAAGGACAGGAACCTCTAGTGTCCTCTGATTCTGCCCAGGAGTTACAGGGTAAACAAGCTTGGAAAGCACCTGGCCTGGGCCTCCAGGGAGAACAGGAGCCAGGGACACGCCTAGAGCGGGCTCTCCACCTTGGTTCTATCAATATTCTTGGTTGTGGGGCTGTCCTGTCCATTGTCACATGGTGAGTGGCATCTGTGGCCCCTACCCACCAGATGCCTCCTACCCAGTTGTGACAAACAAAAACGTCTCTGGACATTGCTAAATGTCCCCAGGTCGCAAACTCAGCCTGACTGTGAACCACTGGTCTAGATGAGCAAGTAAATGCATTAACTTCTTTGCACAAGAGAGTGGCAGGTGCAGGCAAGCGTGTTTTTGTCTTCCTTTTTAAAGAGACAAAGTCTTGCTCTTTGTCCAGGCTGGAGTGCGGTGGTGCATTCATAGCTCACTGCAGCCTCATACTCCTGGGCTCAAGTGATTCTCCTGTGTCAGCTTCCTGAGCAGCTAAGACGACAGGTGTGTACCGCCATGCTCAGCTATTTATGAAATTGTGTTTTTGGAGAGATAAATGTCTCACTATGCTGCCCAAGCTGATCTCAAACTCCTGAGCTCAAGTGATCCTTCTGCTTGGGCCTCCTAAAGTGCTGGGATTAGAGGTGTGAGCCACGGCACCCAACCCATTTTCTATAAAGAGCCAGATGGTAAATATTTTTGGCTTTGTGAGCTATGCGATCTCTGTCACAATTGCTCTGTTTTGTCCTTGTAGCAAGAAAGCAGCCACAGACAGTATGTGAACAAACAGGTGTACTGTGTTGCTATTAAAATGTATTTAAAGAAACAGGTGGGCTGCACTGGGCTGCCTATGGCACTCAGGCTGTAGTGTGCTGAGCCCGGCTCCGGAGCACTCCAGCTCCTGTCTCCAGGTTTTAAGTAACTCATGACTGGTGGGATGATCAGAATCTCTCTTAACTCCTCCTGTCTGTGACATCAGGCAGGAGCTTCAGGACCCATGGAGAGACCTAGAGGAATAAAGGACTTGGTCTCACTGAGACTGCGTTGGACTGGCTGGGTGAAGTAGAAATGGGGAGCTTCCTGCAGCCCTGGCCCACGGTAGGGCCCCCTGAGCCTGTGGGTAGAGTGTCTGAGTGTGTTTTGCAGAGAGGAATTCTCTACATTGGGTGTCCACACAACCTGTAGACATGCCTCACTCAGAGAGGTGCCAGGCAAGGCAAACCACCTCCCTTTGACCCCAACTTGGCTTAGAACATGCATTCAACACAGCCAAAAACTTCCTGATGCATCTCCCCAGAGAGGTGAAAACATGTCAATATCAGCCTTCCATGTGTGGTCCTGAGTCCTCTCTTGTTAAACAGTGGTCTCTAGCACTTTGAGGTCAGGAGTTCAGGACCAGCCTGATCAACATGGGAAAATCGTCTCTACTAAAAATACAAAATTAGCCAGGTGTGGTGGCACATGCTGTAATCCCAGCTACTCGCAAGACTGAGGCAGGAGAATCACTTGAACCCAGGAGGCAGAGGTTGCAGTGAGCTGAGATCATGCCACTGCATTCCAGCCTGGGTGACAGAATGAGACTCAATCTCAAAAAA